TAACCTAACTTAACCTCCTAACCTAACCTAACCTATCCTGAGATTAACTGTCGATTTCTGCGGACAGTGACCTGCTCTGCGAGTAACGGAGTCCTGAACCAATTCGTAAAGAGGGTGAAGAGACAGGAAGAGACGACCAAAAAGGAAGAGAGTTTTGAAACCGAACTATGCAAAGATAAGGATGCCGGGGAGTGGTTCCGACTAGTAGCAGGAGAGGGTGACAATTGCAGGGATGTAATCCAGTGCACTTCATCGGTATGTCCACACAATTTACTTGAACAGTGGCATTAACTTTCTCTATAATCGCGTGCCAATTTACAAACTGCAAATGTTCTCCCTAGGGTCTGCAAGCTATTCGATGCCCAGCAGGTCTGTATTTCGATATCGAGAAGCAGACATGCGACTGGAAGGATGCAGTTAAAAACTGCAAACTCAAAAACAAGGAGCGCAAAGTTAGGCCTCTGCTTTACACCGATGAACCTCTTTGCCAGGTACGTAAGAATTATTAGAATATGAATTTCTTGCGGTGGTGAGTACGAACACGGCTGTCTTCTGGGCGATAAGCCGTAATGATGGAATCATCAAGGATCTCTGAAATGTTGGTCATCGTGTACCAGACTACACGGCGTTACAACCCAGAAGACAGCCATCATTTAGGTAAGAATTGCTTTGTCATTAATTACTCTATAATGGCGAGTATGGTTCGATTCCAGGCAGGACAGAATTATTATTTTCGTTGCAACATCCAGACTAGTTCTGGGCCCACCCAGCATCCTATCAAATGGATACCCATGGTCTTTTTCGGAGGCAAAGTGGCTGGGGCGTGAGGCTAATCACTCACTTCCATCTACTGCCCGGCTTTTAAAAATGTGTGCAGCTATACCTCCATTCCACCTTAGCTCTAAATAGTTCTTAAGAATCCAGTCCGCATCTAAAAAAAACATTTTAACATAACAAATATCAATTCGTTAATATTGCATGACTGATAAAATCCCTGTTTACGATGAGAATTATAGAATACCATACCCACTTTTCTTTGAAGATTTAGCACCGGGGACAACTTTGGCTTTATTTATACATTAAACACATTAGACGTCACAGTGTCCTGGCTTCATGATTTGTGTGTATGTCCAGATGATTCCGAAAGGTTGAACGTAGGCCTAGTACAAAATCTCAGTTTCACACAATGGACTAGGTTTCGGAGCTTTCATAATGCTGTAGACATAACCTCAACTACAGACAATGGAATGGATTATTCTTTGAAACATGACGCTATAAAAGTGTCCTCGAGAAATAAATTAAACAGCCACTCTCCGCACGTTGAAGCACATTGAAATATAGGCCAGGCCAGTACGATTTCTCTCGTCCAAGTACATTTCCCTTTGTCTTCACGATGGCTGTTTTCTGGAACGTTGCGCCGTGAAGTCTCATAGTAGTTTGTCGCCGTTTCAACAGTCCTTGCTGCCTCCAGGGCGATGACCATGATAAAGATGGAGGCAGCAGTCATCTCGAGCATCTATATTAATAATGATTAATACCTTAGTGGAGCTGTCTTTTTTAAACATCCAAAATGATACGTGGTAATAGGAAGGTGTAAAATTGGCACTTGAATGAACACTTTATTGTATTTTTAGTGCGTTAAGCAAAAATATAAAGTCACAACTCCACGAATTTCAGTCCCAGGTACTAGTCTAAAGTAAGCTGTGAGGTACACACGTTCCGGCCGCTTTACCCCAAAGAAAGACCAGCTATTATGCACCGAGTATGTCTGGTAGAACAGTAGCTTCCCTGACACTGCTCTGCGACGTAAAATTTTAAACCGAAATGGACGTACATATAAAGTGTTCCAAGAGATGTATAGATAATATTACGTATTATAAAGTTATGTATACATATTTTTGGGACACTTGTATTTAAGGGAAGAGAAATCAGTCAGGCAAAGTGTAATAAGATAGTAAAATATTGTCACCCAGTAAAATTATTACTATAAGTGGTCGAATCGAATTACAGGAGGGATTCTTGGCTTGCGGCGATGGCAACTGCGTGGAGCGTGGCCTCTTCTGTAACGGCGAGAAAGACTGTGCCGATGGTTCGGACGAAAACACCTGTGGTAAGTATTACTAAATCCAGGCATGTCACTTTAACACGTGTGCTCAAATACACATCTCAGATATCAACCAGTACGAAACGAGGTCATCGCAGCAGTACCGGCGCTAAATAACGATAATGGTGCAACTACAAGAACATTCACAAGGTGAAACTGTCAACGCCTGGCGCCGGGAAGATTCGAGACTCTCACTTTCTACTGGGTCTGTTTTGTGTCGTACTTACGTACAACCTGCATCACATTTGGATGTCAAATAACTTTCGAGATGTTGCTGGGGTCAGAAAACGCGGAATAATATGGGTGTGGTCAGGGCGGTTCTTGGCAAGGATTCCGTCGCCGTTCAACACCCAGACGAAAGCCACTTTCATATATACGTACACCGAACACAGACACACACACACACTTGAACAGTTGTCATCCATATGATTGTTCAAATAAGTAAACTGATATGCGCATTAATCCTGCCGTTTTCTTGAAATTTTAATCCCCAGTGACGTCACATAATTTCCGGGTAGACAGTTATGAAAGTAAAAGGATTTCATTTGCACATTTGTTAACGGCAGACTGCCTCGAAAGCCACGGCGGTAAACCCGAATTCCTCTGTTTATAAAATACGAACATACTGGCACAGCGTGAAAGCAGGGGGTGTATAAATGTATTGTTCAAGATATCAGTAATCTTCCAGAATGTTCTTAAAGCCGGGTCCATAGATTGAAATAAGACGAAAGTCATGACATTCACAAACTTAAAACGGACAATCAGGATTATAGCTACAGTTCCCATCACTAACGAGAATTATCTGGGTGCAAAGAAGAAACTGAATTTCATAAATACAGATTCCGAACGAGAATACAAGAGGTTTTAACAAACATCAGAATTTCACAAATGTTTTTGTGGTCATTAGCATCATTAACTGGATGTTTGTATTTCTGTAACGAAAACATGATATATAGGTTTAAGAAAAAATAAAATTAGAACTGCAGAAACCTGTTAAGGGCCTTCCCAATAGTTTGTAAATGAATCTTATGTTTCGTGTGCTGCGATATTTCAACCATTTAAGTACCACAATGACGTGTCTGATATCAAACTGCAAACGTAAAGAACTGTTCCTTTATTCTGTTACTCCCATTACAATTTCCGGTTTCGGATTGCAATATGTGTGCGCTGTTGTAATCACGAAGTTAAATATCTGTAATTACAGCCTGTATTTCAGCACGTCGTGCTGCCTTGGTTCTGATTTCCCAAGGCCGGAATCCCATTTCAAATGCATCGGTTCTTTTCTGTAACCGGTAGCGTGTTCTTCTTCACACATCAATTTATTTTGCGACATTCGCGATTTTGAGCTGTCTTGCAGCTGACAGACAGTATCGGGTCCTTACAATTGCGTTTTGAAACACCCGGTGTATACTACGCGGAAAGGGAAAGCTGACAAGACGCAGCTTGAGGGACAGTGGGTGCCCCACCCAGCTAACTCTCCTTGTCTTGTCCAGATAACGACAACGATCCAAACCGTGCTCCGCCCTGCGACCCAGCGGTCTGTGTCCTACCGGACTGCTTCTGCTCCGAGGACGGCACAGCGATCCCTGGAGACCTCCCAGCCAAAGATGTTCCCCAGATGATCACAATCACATTCGATGATGCCATCAACAACAACAACATTGAGCTGTACAAGGACATCTTCAACGGAAACAGAAAGAATCCCAATGGCTGCGACATCAAGGCCAGCTTCTTCGTCTCGCACAAGTACACCAACTACTCGGCCGTGCAGGAGACGCACCGCAAGGGACACGAGATTGCAGTCCACTCCATCACGTGAGTCCACGTCATTACAAAAATATTCACTGATGTTACTAAGGATAAAACTACAACGCAATTTGTTTGGCGTTCAATTTGATATTCTGTTGCACGCGAATACATTTTAGTTGCATTCACAGCCGCTGTCTCACTGCATTTGTTGCAAGTCTTCTGTGACAGCGGCGAATTATTTACTCTCTTGTTCTTCAAACTACATCTCGCCAAAAAAAATACGGTCGCTTTGTGGTACTGGCCCTCATGCTTATACTACATTAATTCTGTCGTCTGGGAGGATGCATGGAGGTATGGATGGACGGAGAGGAGGGCGGATGAGCGATGGATGAAGGAACGCATGAATGAATGGATTGATAAACTAACAATGGTTTCTATTTCTTCAATGCTAAAAAAAACAACTAAAAACGCTATCCTCAAACATACAATTTTCTAAATTAATAATTCAACAATTTCGTCGTTTATGAGCAGAGTGTCGTAACCGACGCTGGATCTCAGTGCAAAAGTGGCGCAAGATGAATACCAAGTTTGTGATCAGAGACCAAATGCATCGCCACGGTGGAGCGACTCTTGCCTTGTTACACTTTTACATTGATATCCAACGTCACTTACGACATTCCGGCTCATAACCGACGATTCTTTGTTTGTTTGTATCAAGTGGAACTGGAAATCAACGAGGATCTGGAAGCTCTGAGTAAGTTTACCTCCTGAGGGAACATCTTTATTAATCCCGTGAGATCAATGCCACTGGGTCACTGGCCACCATGGACCAAACTCGTGGACATTCACAAAGGCAAGGTTGAAGTATAGACAGGCTATGGTACAATCTCGTCGTTTCTCGGAAAGATATAGAAACCATTGTAGATGTACATCTGTTCCAACATGTATTCTTGACTGCTGCTGTGTGTTATCAAGGCTAGCTGGAATGGAATTGTTTCCTGGAGTACAGCCATCAATTATTATATTTTAAGTGCGGTAATTCACTCATCGGTAAATACCCCGCAGATTGTGACCCTACGAATTACCTCTAGACGCGACATTACTGATGGAGTGTTACAGACTTCAATTCTATACTTTAAGAATTGCAACGTTAAAAATATTCAATGTGGAAAATAATTATATAGACTATGACGTAACAAATGCATAGACAACTTTCCTATCAAAAAAAGAAGTTCTCATATAACTTCTTTATTCAAATAAATTGACTATACTTAGTGTAAATATGTTTCCAGACGGAATCTTGCTAATATCTAATTACGACAGAATTAAAATTCGCACCTAAAGGAAATCATTTACTGACTTCAGGCACAATGACGACGAGCAGTTCTGGAGCAACGCCACCGTCGATGACTGGGCCAAGGAAATGGCAGGTACGAGGATTATTATCGAGAAATTTGCCAACCTTACCGACAACAGTGTGGTGGGTGTCAGAGCACCGTACTTGCGCGTGGGTGGTAACAACCAATTTACCATGATGGAGGAACAGGCCTTCCTATACGACTCGACCATCACAGCACCCCTCTCGAATCCTCCACTGTGGCCGTACACCATGTACTTCCGCATGCCACACCGTTGCCATGGAAACCTGCAGCACTGCCCGACCCGAAGCCATGCCGTGTGGGAGATGGTAATGAATGAGTTAGATCGCAGGGAAGACCCCCAGTTTGATGAGTACCTGCCTGGGTGCGCTATGGTTGACTCTTGTTCTAACATCCTGACGGGAGATCAGTTCTACAACTTCCTCAACCACAACTTTGACCGTCATTACGACAAGAACCGAGCCCCACTGGGCCTCTACTTCCATGCAGCCTGGCTCAAGAATAACCCAGAGTTCCTCGATGCGTTCCTTTACTGGGTAGATGAGATCCTGGCCAATCACAATGACGTTTATTTCGTGACTATGACACAAGTTATCCAGTGGATCCAGAATCCCAGAACCGTTTCTGAGGTGAAGAATTTCGAGCCCTGGAGAGAGAAGTGCACAGTGGAGGGAAAACCTGCTTGCTGGGTGCCTCACTCATGTAAACTGACGAGTAAGGAACTGCCAGGGGAGACCATTAATCTGCAGACATGTGTCCGCTGTCCGAACAACTACCCATGGGTTAATGACCCAACCGGAGACGGGTTCTTCTAAGTCATCGATCTCATAATTCTGCAATTCAATGTCATCACCTGTCATACCCTGCACACTTCCTGGCTCCCTCTCCACAACCCTCAACTAAAACAGGAACCATGCATATCATGAAACACTTTTAAGTTGGTATTAAGCGCTAACTGACTATGAACTACGCAAAACCTGGAGAAAAAATATTGAAAATAAACTTTTAATGGGCGGGTGATAAAGTATGTATGCCCTAAGCATTCCTTCGTGTTGCTATCTCTTTCATTCATGACAGTGGTGAAGGAACAGGGTATAATGATGCGGGCTAGTTTCAAATCTCCCGACAGAGCGTGTTCCTTGTCGAAGGGGCCTACAGTGACCAGGAGAAGGGCGATTTCCGGTAATAAGACGGAAATATTATGGAGCCTTATTTGGGCAATTTTGTTTGAATTTTATATGCTCTCTCTTTATGGAAACCAGCTGTGTAGAAAAAGATATCAATTTTTGACAACCTGATATAATGTGTGAAAGGAAGGAATTGGTTTATGTTTTTCAAACGAATGTCCAAGAACTGTGGCTGCAGTACCAGCAGAATCTCATCCTGTATGATGAGTGGCCCATTGCAAGGGCTCGGACTATTTAATTAATGTGATTCTTGGGTTATGAACCTGAGATAAGCAAGTAATGTACAGGTTTACTTGAACTTCAGTTCAAGGAGGCATTTTGTGTAAAAAAAAATCTGTTTTGACAAGTTTAAAATAAAATGTGCTTATAAACCTAACAATATGTGTTGTACATGTCTTCCATGTTATTTATCATACCTCATAAATCAAGACGTGACAAATACATTTATTATACGGTTGTAGTAAATATAATTTTTAATAAAAAAAAGGCTTTTCAGAAGGGTAACAAGAAATTAATCTGATCAGTAGAACTATCCCGAATATCTGATATCTACACTACGTATGTACTCAAAATCAATTCAAACATGCAATGCCAAATTCTGGCACGTTGGCCATAATTTGATCCTTGACCTTTGGAAATGGAGTTAGTGCCGTCAGAATTGTATTGATCCATGATATTTGCACAGGCGTGCAAATATCTAGTTCGGTGATGACGTCATCACGGAGGATTCCCCCTTCCCAGAGTATCACCGTAAGCAAGGTGAATGTTATGTGTTGAGTAAAGTGGTCGCTTGAATTGCTGCATATGAATAAAAATTGAAATGGATAAGTTTGTCGTGAAATTTCCTGACTTTACAAAAATCTGCAAATTCTCGAGTTGTTTCATATAGACAAGATATTTTAACAGCCGGTCCACAGAGTGGCGATCGCGCCTAAAACGTTGCGTTAAAGATGTTCCATAATCCAACTCCAAAGGCAGGACCACTTTCTTTGGCAAGACTCACAAAAAAGGATAATCCTAACTAAGGTCTCTCTCTGGTACTGTATCTAAGTAGTTTTATTTCTGAGAACATTTGAACCGTGTGGGAGATTGACAAAAATAATTATTTGAGGTACCATTAAATAAAGGTTGCGGAAGAATTGACTGTATCGTTCGACAGAATCTTTTATTCAGAAAGTGCCACAAGGTTGCAGCCACCTTGCCGAAGGCAAGGGCGCGGCTGTCGTAATTACTTGGCAACATACAAGTAGAATGCAACGAGGAAATACTTCAAGTTAAAAGTAGTCACATGCACTGGTATAATTACAAAATAAATAGAAAAAATATTAATAAAAGTTCGGTTTTCATGTTTGTCGTTTGGAAAGACATGTATAGAATTATAAATGATTAACCGTAATCATACAATTAAAAAACAAGCTAATAATTATGGATAAGACAGCTTTTAAACAGCTGCTAACATGACACGGTATGTCTAAACATCGTAACACTTCAGTATTTTAATAAAAACCCAATAGGGGACAGTAGATACTACTGATCATGGCTGTCAAAGCAGAAATATCACTGAACACTTAAATTCCGGAATAAATGCCTCTTCAATCCCCACATCATCTGCACACAGATCTTAACTTGTGCTGATAATTCACAAAATTAACCTAATTTAAATCGTAATTTTAAAAAGTAGCCTAAACAGAACATAGCTCATTTATTTGCCTGTTAAAGCCTATAAGAATTTCATGTAGCCAAAACAATAGTTCAAAACTGCGTAATTCCATTTTATAATATACACAAAAATAATTGTTTATTTAATATGTACTTTCTAATTCCCATATTTTTTCTATTCCTTCTTCATACATGTTCTTTACTTTTCTTCCATTATTCTCCCCTATTATTACGGACGTAAACATTTATGGTAAATCGTACTACAACACCTGGATGACAACGTTTCTACTTAAATAAGCCATTTACAGATGCATGCAAACATTTTCAGCCGAAACTCGTTTAAACAGTATATAAAAACTCAGTTATCTCAAAGAAATAATCGCGTCGCCATTACAAAAATCAGTTACTTAATACTGTACGAGAATCGCTGTTTATTCTGAGAATCATAAGAAACCCACATAGACGTGGAAACGAGCAGTTATATTTATTATTAATAAAGTAGGTGGTACAAACAGCTACCACCAGACTTGTTAGGGTTAAGTATGACAAACTTTCGATGTTACATTTCATACTAATACCTGCATACCGTGAAGTTTGATCTAGTTTTGCAAAATAGTTAATTAAGAAAACAGGATGTCACCAATTTTGATTAGCATTTCGGAATATTTTCTGATGACTGGTATTATTTTATCTGTGTGAGATTCTTTGCCGTTGTAGCTAGTGTTCGTTGATCTGGTAAATGAAAAGCTTACTTACTCCGCCTTCTTCATTCGAGGGTAAAAGTAGATCAAAAACGCACAAACTAAAATATTAACAGCAGTCATAAAATAACTGGCCCAAACAGCAGTGTCTGTGTGTGTTTTCAACAGAGTCGTATTCTTCAGGCAATTTCAACCGTGTTTCCTGATCTCTCTCCTTTCGAGAGTCCAGGTGACGGAGTCAACAGATGGTGACGAGCTCGTCGTTACAAGATGTGGAGTGTGTCCGATGACACCGTAGTCCGCTGTCCTCCTCTACTGCATGTAGCTTCTCCGCTCTGTTAATTTCTTGTCAGACCAGAACAAAAATATTCGCACAGAGCTGAATTATTCGTTCAACAACTCCGGTTGTATTGTCATGTGTTACTTTGAATTCATAAAAGAAGTGCCTGAAGATCACATTAGCAACATCTCGTCTTCCGTGTGGTGATTAAGAGGATTTTTCTTTTCCGTTTATTCAGTAAAACTTTTCCTGCGTTTAACCTAACCGCGGCTTTGTAGGGACTTTGAGTTGGGCTCAACGCTTGGAGGTCTCGTCACTAGAAGCACGCAAGCCGCCAGCATCATGATTCGCCTTAACGCTAAGGATAAGCACCCGATACCAGAGGTCAGATATTTCCTAACACATTTCACACATGCATTTTACATATTCGAAATAAAAGTTCAGCTGGTTTTTGTCTTTATCTGTTATTGGAAAAAGGCCACAACTCTGAAAGCTGGCACCTTTATCGACTTGATGAAATTTAGCAGAATTATTCTGAAGTAATAATTTTAACAGACGTCTGCTAATATTTTAGAAGCTGGAGCCGATCACAGGACCGGTTTTTTACTGCTACTGTCCCGAGACTTTCACTTCGCCGCCCACCCGACCGGCGATAAACCTCCCCACAGATCACAATGCAGCTTTCCCTTTTAACACAGAGCCAGCAGGTCTTCCTCGCAGAGCAAAACAAAACTACAGGACCTCAAATCCCTATAGGAGAACCCTTCGAATGGAATGTGTGTAATTTACCTCATGCTGTTAGTCATTTAATTCAAGAGATCGAACAGCACGATACGAATGCATTCTTGAGTTGATGTAGGTACAAGGGGAGTGGATGACAAGTCAACTTATGCAGTCTCATCTTCACGATCTTTTCAAGTGTACGTACAGATGCTCCTTAAAAATGAAGACACTGCATTGGAGCTGCCTTCAACTGGCTTGAATGCTCACTTATTACGTTCACGGGCGAGAAATAAGTGACATCTAACCCCATGGAGCAGATTCTTTTTCGAAAAGGCAATTTTCTCTCAGGTGTTCCAACAATTCCCAAGAATCAAATCGCCCTGATGATACAGGCAGCAAGGACCTCTGAAACGCTGGTAAACTTTTACCAAACTATACGGCGCAGCAACCCAGAAGGAAGTTCATATACAACTGACATGACAAGCGACGTCAACAACTGCACAGGAAAACCTAGATAACATTGTCAATTAAACATAAAACAATGCAATACCTTGGATATTACATAATTTGAGGCTATGGGACTGATTAGTGAACACGGATGCAGTTGTGTTGAGTGCAAGACCAAGTGAAAAGGAAAACCTTGGTGGCATTTAGGAAGAATTACTTTCAAGTCGTCCTCCCTGCAGCTATTTCTTTGAGGAAGAGACCTTTAAGGAGTCGCTGTACATAGGGTTGCATATGATACAATATTTGGTCGAGTAAAGCGATCCTAATAACCGCAATTATAGTGAAACAGTGTCATACTCATTTGGTCACAGAA